ATACAGGGATTAAAGACCACTTCCAGAGTTGTAACCTGATATAGTGGCTGGGATCCAAAAACTTCTGTTAGATGAAATTAAGAACTTTCACTTCTGATATTTTCTCTTCTTTTTCCTTATTTTTAAAGAATATCAGATACCTATGTCAGAATATAAACTGTTTTGTGAGAAGCTTTCAGAAGTATTTGCCATGTAGTAATGGAAAAGAGCTACCTAATGTGTTTCTTACATGGTGGCTTTTGGAATAAGAAATGTGAAATAATCACTGAAATTTATATTTCTTATCAAATAGGACCAAAAGGTAACTGTAATTAGTTAAATAGACTAATTGTCAAAACAACAACACATTTTTGTTGTAGAAGAGGCATTATTAAGGAATATTTGCATGTATATTAAGCCCTGATATCCTGAAAAAATATTGTAAAAATTTCTCCAGTTTTTTTCATTTCATTTTTTCATTTTCATTTTTCATTTTTTCATCTCTCCAGTTTTTTTTTTTAATTTCCTATTCAAGACCACTGAAAAATCAATTGATTCTTAGATGGAATTTCAAAAACTGCACTGAAGTTATCTATAAAGAAACAAAAACTTACCTTGTTGTGCTAATGTGGATCTTAGCATTCCACTCTTGGACCAAATTTTTATTTGCCCATCTTCACCAACTAGAAAGAAACATCAAATAATGCCTTTGGCTTAAGAAAGCTTTCAACACTTTAAAATTTTTAACACTTTGAATATCATAAGTTGTACTAACTTTACCTCTATAAAGCAGTACTAACAATCTTGAAGTATTTCTCATTGCTTTCTGAGGAATCATATGGGCTTATTATTCCTCTGCAATTCCTATTCTATTCCACATAAACAGAACTATCATTCTCCAGGGTGACTAATTCAAAGTTAAAAGGTTTTCTAAATTTGTAAGTATAATAATCAATGTGGTTGGAAGAAAAAGGAAGTGAATCTTTTCTTCCTCTTTTTCTAAATCTTCTTAAATCATCCAAATAAGAAGGCATACAATGAAAATAACAGGCTTTCCAATTATCTTGGAAGATAGCAATGGCAAACTACTGCCAAGAAAACTTCAAAGATGCGTCAGTGTAATTGTCAGAAGTCAAGGTTGGCTTGAGGACATCTTTACCATAGTCCTGTCTGAATAATTTTCTTAACATTACGAATAATTTAAGAATAAAATGTAAAGAAACACTTGATAACTCTAGTTTCAATTCTTCTACACTTTTTTTTTTTAAAAAGGAAGCATTAAAAAACAGGGGAAAATACAATTTCCCAAATATGTATTGTATTTTCCCATTTTTTTAATGTTTATATTACTTCTGTATGTATATGTATACACATTCAAATCTCTAATATTAACAGAAGAGTCTATTATTGTCACATGCAAAGGAGCAACAGTGATCACATAATATTCAGTGAAGGCTGGCTCAAAGTCTTTTGTTATTTTATACAAATGGAAAATATGTTTACATCTTATTGTCTGCAGACCAAATATCTAGAGTTCACTAAAGTCCTGTATTCACCATCATTAACTGGATTTGAATTTTACATATTTATGTGAACTGATAATGAGGACTATTTCTGAGCTAGAGAGTTCTGCAGAGATGAGTAGGAAAACATTCCAAAAGCAGTAACAGAAAGACACTATCTAGCTATAAGCAATACTTGGGAACTGTTATTTCTGCCAAAAGAGGTATTACAAAATGCTGACTAAAAGGGTACCCAAATGTTTGCACTTACCATATTCATTATTTTCTTATTTTGAATCTATAAACTGCACATAAATAGTAAGTATGCATTCACGTCATGTTTGTACCGGGTACAATATGTGTCAGCTTCTATTTACTCAGGGATTCACTGAAACATACAATTTGGGAGGGGTACCTAGTTTTGCATAAAACTATATATTGCAACTATTTTCACTGTTATGTAAATCAATACATGAGTGACAAGCGGCTAGTGTTTTTATTCCATGTTGCTGCCTCTTAGATCATTTACTATCTGATTGAACTATCTAATAAATGAAGCTTTTCAGATCCAGTGTAGCCTCTGGTTTAGCTACTTTCTGACCACACAAATGATAACATACTATTAAGAGTCTAAAGTAACATATTCCTCAAGCCCAGTAATGTAATAAATATGGATGTTCTATATATACCTAGTTATCTATCTCTAGATAATTTCCATGCATACTTCTTATATATTTTTTATATAATAGCTATGTTGTTTGTTTTCCATCATGTAATTGAAAAAGTGAAGCAACTGCAGAACATGTTCTTCCATCTTTTCTTTCAAATTCTTTAAAAAGGAGGCAATTCTACTTCTGAATGTATTCTTGGGTTAACAGTTTTCCTTCAGGGCATACTTACAGATGAATCCTATTACCTGTAACAAGTGCGGTACCTTCATAATTCCATCTTCCTGCAAGTACAGCTCCACAGTGGGCTTCTACACTTTTTTCAACTCTTCCAGTTTTGGAAATCAAATGAAACTTACCTACATGAATATTATATGAATTATATTGCATTAAAAACTGATTTACATACAAAGGCTATTTCTGAAAAACAGCATTTCATTCTTTTTCTAATTCATTAGCTAATTGATCATTATCTGATCAAATATATTCAGTTTGTAAATACTTCTCACTGATATAAGTAATTGGTTTCAGTTTAACTGAAATTATTCACTTATATGGCACTGAAATCAATAGGATATCAATATATATATATATATCAATATATATTGATATCAATGTATATCAATAGGAAATCAACAGGAGAGCCAGTTTGGTCTCGCAGTTAAGGCACCAGGCTAGAAAGCAGGAGACAGTGAGTTCTAGTCCTGCCTTAGGCACGAAAGCCGGCTGGATGACTTTGGGCCAGTCTCTCTCTCTCAGCCCAACTCACCTCATAGGGTTGTTGTTGTGGGGAAAGTAGTAGTAGGAGGGAATATTTAAGTATGTTTGCCACCTTGAGTTATTTATAAAAATAACAAAAGTGATTTTAAAAATTCTAAAAAAAAAGTTAACTTTTTAAAAAACTGGAATCTTGTATCATTGGCATAGTTGATAAGCAGTCCATAATCTTTCCATTAAACTACTCAGCTTCAGCTTATTCTCTGCTGTCACCTTTCTTCACTTCTCTCACTAAGCATTTTTAAAAAATGAGGGAACAGCCCTTTACAAAGAAAGAGGGAGCAAATAAGTGCCAATGCCTGCGTAAGTATGTGAATAAATCTTCTACAACTGTTCTCATATTTCTACTGGGCAACACTTTGCACAATCCTTCCTACAACCTATTGCGCATGTCAAGAAATAGGTGTATTTAGTTTCACTTTTTATAAATGTTACACACTGAATGCATATTTACTGCAGTACTGTTCTACAGCAATATAGCATCAAGTGTAACTGGCTTTTCTGTGAGAAGAAGAGAAGCTCTGAATTCAACATGAACATTTACAACTGGAGTCCATCTTGATTCGAAGTGGAAGTTATCCTGAACTTTATCAGTGCAGGACTGCCAAGTGAGATGGAGGAAGTTATGGTGGATATTCCTGCCTGAGACAACTGGGTTGATCTTTTACTTGAGAAGCCCTAGTGAAAGACATGTGTCTGCAGAGGGAGAGAAACAGAAGAGAAAATAGGTTTGTCATTGGAGAGAAAAAGCAAGTTGGAGCCAATGAGAATGGAATTGTCAGTTACTGGTCCGCCAAGGTAGGTGATCAAGGCATGAAATAGGGGAATAGTATGCTCATGGGATAATCAGCTCAGGAATAGTATGTGTAGTCGGCCATAAGATGGTGAGGATGGCATACAGGACACCTGAAGAAGAAAGAAAAGGGGAACATATTTTGGTGCTGACAGGCCTGGGAAGATATGGTGGGAGGCTCAGGGCATGTTGTTCCAGAGAAAGGAGATGCACAATCTGATTCTGGTGACTGTGGTCAAGCTATCTCCTCATAAGAAGGGGTTAAAAGTAAAAAAAAAAAAAGATATTTAACAGAGGTAAATGCAAAGTTCTTCACTTAAGAAACAAAAATCAAATATACATGTATTGGATAGAGGATACTTGGCTTGGTAATGGTAATTAAAAGAACCTGAAATTGTACTTGATGAATATGAGCCAACAGTGTGATACAGCTGCAAAGAAAGCAAATGCAATTTTGGGGTGCATCAACAGAATGATATAAATTAATCTCTACTGATCAGATACCACTCTGAATAATCTTTCTAGTTTTCAGCATCACATTTGAAAGATTCAGAGAAATGGAATCAGAATTAGAGAATGGTGATAAAGATGATTAGGAGATTAGAAACTCTATGAAGAGAGATTTAAGGAATTAGAATTAGGGATGTAATAGCACTCTTGAAATAGCAGAAAAAAATGTCAAAGGCCAAATACAGTATGCTCTCTCATATTCTGGAATGCATGACACAGAATAATGGATTTAAGTTATAGGAAGACATATTCTGATTTCAATGTTAGAAAAATCTTCAGTAAGAGCAGTTCAGCAATGGAACCAGTTACCTAGAGAGATGCTGGACACTTCATTGGATGTGCTCAAGGGGAGGCTAGACAGGGTTAGGGTAGGAATGTTTCATTTTGGATCCCTGCACTGAGTAGGGGTTTGGGCTAGATGGCCTAAATTGATTTTTTTAACTCTACGATTCTATGAAATGCTAAACAGAAAGATCATTAATAATACAGCAGTAATATCTTTTCAGAAAGTTGATACTTGAATCAATAATATGGATGCAATTGACTAACATTTACATAATTATATTCCATGTACTTAATATTCCAAGTATTTGCTATCTGAATAAAATAAAGTCAATCAAAATCAAATTAGCACTTATTTTGTATAACCATTTTTCCAACAAACATAGCTCAAATGGCTCCTAATACAAGACACATAAATTAAATACAAATTATGAACACTTTCTCTTTATAGAGTTTCTCTCTACAAGTAAGAGATCTCCCTGAATAGAGTTCTGTCAGGACAGCCTGACTGATAAAAAACTCACAATTTCATATTGTTACCAAGAAAACCACATGGACACATTAAGTTACCAAGAATTGAGATAAGACTACAGTTCTCAGCTTACATGAGAGGAAGATGTTTTCTATCCTAGAACTGGGAGACTTTAAAGATCAAAACCTGCACTGAACACTGGGCTCAGAAACAGACAAGAAACAGTTCAGGAACAGATTATTTTAAAATACAACCCCTTAAAGAACAGACTGGAAAATAATTAGGTAAATTCGGCATCTCAGGGAAAAGATGTAGGGCCAGGGCACTTCATGCAGCCACTCACCCTCAAATATCTGCAACAATTTTGTGCCAATGTGCAAGTTTTCTCATTGCTAAACTCCATCCTCTTACTAAGTAGATCAGTGATCCCATCAAACATTTCTCATTCTAAACCTGGATAGAAGGCTGTTAACAATAAGATGTCCAATTGCTTAACAGCTCTTGAAGAATCTCTGTTCTTTGCTGTTGGAAAAAAAATCTATTATGAGCTAAAATACTGAAGTTATGTATTGCACTATGGAAGAGCATCTTACAATTTTAAGTGTAAAAGATGCTGAAGAAGGATTAAGACTAAAAACCAATTGAGATTATGAAAGACTCCTATTTGATTTTCTTCTCACAAATCTACAATCAATGACAAACAGTAGCTATATAAGCAGTAGGTACCTTAGCATTAATGCATGTCATTGATAATGAAACTAATTTAAACAAACATCAGCACTTGGTATTTGCTGGTATTGGTAGACATATTAATCCTTTTTGTTACTGCTGTAAATTAGATTTTAAAAATTGAAACTTTTAGTAATAAACTTTCTTGATAATATAGTTTGGAACAAAAAATGAGACACAGTTTCAACTTTAATTCTCAGGTTTATAAAATACTCTTTTTTCCCTGTTTTTATTATTTAATGAAACCATGAAGATTCTCAATGTTGAAGCAATTCTGCTGTTCTGGAAATCATTCAAATAAGAGATTAGCAGCCTTTTCAAGTACAGCATGTACAAAACTATGTCTGCTATATTCATTTGCTACCACAAACCCCTTAAATATTCTGCTCCAATTTTAACAATTAGTCATCAGTGAAACAGAAACTAGCAGGGGAAAAAGTCACTTTTAAAGAACTAGTCCAAATTATATTGAAATAACAGAATGAATAAAGAGCTTACGCAGAACTATTTGCAAAAATATGGATAAATAATTCTAATTCCCTTTTTCCAAAGAGAAATGGACCTTTATACAGATATAATTTTCAATCTATCAGAGAACAAAGTAATTAATATTATAAGCTTGTATGTGACTACTCAGAATTAAGCATTATTAAATTCAGTAGAATTTATATTCAAGTCAGCATTTTCAGGAATAAACGCAATGATTAGGAAGGAAAGTACTTTTTTAAACAGATAGTGGGGTAGTGAACAAGTTCTGATGTGTGGCAGTGGACTGGAAAATGGAAGTGCTAGTTTTAATCTGAATTTTGAAGGTAAAGATTACAGTACAAAGACCTTTAACAAACATCTGGGAAATATGTTCAACATAGCTGCTGTGATGTCCCATTCCTATTATTACAGACTCAAAATTAAAAGTTATGAACATTTCTTATGAAATTAGAATATTTTTAGAATGTTTAATTTGCCATCTAATTAAAATGACTTCTCAGCACATCTCCATGTTGTTTTCCCTCATTCTTTCAGTTTTAAAAATCATTCACTGGGTCTGTACATATAATCATTGTAGTTTATGACTTAGTATAGTGTGAACCCAGCTGATTGGTAGCTATGATTTGCTGAATAAGTCATAAACTCTTAGCATGATGTATGAATCCAGCTATACCGTTAGTATTTCTTTGAAGAATACATTTGAAATATATTGTTCTTCTGGAAACTTGTTTGACAAATTTGCATTTTTAATTTGTCAAGTTCTTTGGTCCTGGATATTCCAAAATGTTCTTGTCCATATATATTATTCTTCCATTTATAATTAAAGTTAGTGTTACAAATTAGTCTAATATTAGTTACTGCTTTTGACTTTCATTAAAGGTAGATGTAGAAGAATCAATTGTCTTTATATACTGAACAGACTTGAATTGTCTGAGGAATCAAATCCAATTTTATAAGTATCAGTACTTGAGTCCTAGATACAGTCATGTGAAAAAGTAACTACACTCCATGGAAATTTTTGACTTTTTAAGCATATTTCAACCTACAGATATTTAATCTTCATTTCAACAATATTGATAAAGGGGAAATAATATAACAATTATAATGCGCCATTAACATTTTGTAGTCCATTGTGTAATTTAAATAAACATAAATGTAATTTTTGTATGTGGAAGAATTAAGTACATCCCTACATTTATTACTACCTCAAATACCTAAAATTAGAATCAGGTGCACCAGATCAGGTGCAAATGATTAGGATATCATTAGAGGGGATCTGGAAAGAACCTGTTTTATTTAAACCTCAG